ATTTACGGCTGATTAGTTAGTGCTACTTAAAACAATTGGGTTTACCACATATCTAACAAACCAGTTCAGGGCCGATCTGCACCAATACAGTCCGTATTTTGTAAGGGTGTATCATTGAAGAAGGCCATCACATAAGCAATTTGTGCGCTTAAACACAAATGCAGAACGTGCTACCTTGACAGGTGGGGAATATTGTAAAAGATGATATGCATAGAACATCCAAGCTACAAAGTTTATTGTCCGAAAAGTACATCCAGACTACAAAGTAAACTGAGGAGCTGTCAAATTATATGTTGGTCCAACTACACTACCAGAATTTAAGTGGAAAGGAAAAGCACTTCGGATGTTAGTTAAAGGTGACTGACTGCCAGTTTCCATCCTCCAGGTCCATATGGCAAGAAAATCAATTATACTTTCACCTTCTTGCTGTTGGTTTTATCGACTTTCTCGCTTTCAACCTTCATCTTTTTTATGGAATCCAAAAGGGACGATGACTGTTCTTTGTTGGATGAAGATTTTGCAAAGGGGTTAAGTGGCCGCTGAGGCTCTCCTCGGTTGCTGTCTTCACTGCCCTTATTTTTAGCACCAGCCTGATCAATGCCTCCTTTCAAAATCTGTTCAGCTGCTCCATCCCTCTCCCTTTTTGCTTTCCCTTCTGAGTTATCATTTTTCTTGGGTATCTTAGCTAAAGGGGTAACCACAGGTGAAACCTTTGGAGTGTTATCCTTCACATCTTTTGGTTGTTCTAATTCTGCCTTCTTAGGTCCAGCTGCACTGCTTCGTCGGGCAAAAGGGTTCGGTGTGGATGCCTCCTCCAAGTTACCTCCATTTTGCACAATTTTAGCAGGTTGGATTGTATGGAGCGCTGGTGAGTGGTTTGTACTGGCCGGATTCAAGCAAACACCCACTGTTCCAGCAGTTCTTGCATCGTTTAACATTCTCTCCTGCAAGATGTAATCATAATCATGAATGAATTGGTAACAGCAGGTAGGTTCTATTCAGGGCAAGAAATAAGGGGTGTGGCTTTCACCTCAAGTAATGAACTGAACTTCTCTTGTAATGTAGGAAGTTTCAAGCGTGTAACAAGTGTTAATGCTCCCTTCATTGATTTCTCCAACGTCAGTAACTTTGCAAGCTCAGTGGCTCGGACTAGCTTATCACCTGTGGAAAAGTAAGAACATAAGAAATAAAATTTAAGAGAAAGAACCATTTGGCAACAATTCATGAATTTTGTTCAAGATTTTTATACCATTGCAGCAGGTAGAGATGAGTCTCAGGATGCACCGGTCAAGTGCAGCCTCTGTATTGAATGCTTCATCTTCAAATGCAGTTGTGTCAAGACCCAGAGCAGCAATTTCTTCTATTTTCTTTTGGATCTGAGACAAAAAGAAGGAATCCTTAAACAACAGAGCACAGACACTGGCCTTTTAAGTTTGAGAAAGAAACGTGATGTACCTGTGAGAGATGCAACTTCCTTGTCATGAACTCGTTTTCCAAACTATTGGCTCCAAGGTCAGATGACGCAAGAGGAAATGACAGCTCAAGTATAGTTAGAACAGGCTTGGGCATCACCTAAGATCAAGAGAACATGAGTCAAGGAGCAGATCAACACCCAGTGAGGAAACTGGGGACTAGTTAGATTGGCAATGATTTTAATATTTTGGCGTGTTGCTTCATGTGTTCAGTGTTCAGTGTATTCGCTTTTTTTCTTTCTAGGATACTACTACAAGAACCCAAACTATCATACATTCTAGAATTAACTATAGAAGAGAAGAAAATCGAAGTAACTTTTACCCAATTCTTCATTAAACGCAACAAAAATGATTTTCCGTCTTCCAGATTACATGGCTGAAAGCATCTTTCTTGACAGATTGAACTTAAGAACTTCAACAAAAAGGAAAACTTGTTCAAAGAGAAGCAAAGCATACCTGAGGATAACATTCAGGGGACTTGCATAGAATGCAGAATATATTATTAGCATCTAAACCCACCACCCAGTGGCTTTCATCTTCAGATTTTCTTGCCTTGGTTGAACTGAAATTTGATACAGTGATTAAGTGTGCTTCGGCACCAACTTCTTAATGTTTAACTTGCAAGGAAGATTCTATACCTAAACACAGGAAGCCAGCTCCCACCAAACTGACCGGAAAAGACCCTCAGTATTCCCTGGAATTATTGAGGATCAGTGTAAAAAATTAGCATCATTAAACCGACATTCAACTGTTGATTTACTCATGAGGCATAAATACCTTGGAGTCATATGAACTAAGTTGGCCATTCTCACTGAAACCAAACCAAGATAGTTGAGAGGATGGAGTCAAGACAAGGCGGCCGGACATTGATTGTGCCCCCTCGGTTATGTTGAATACCTTAACATCTAGTACCTGTCAGTGGTAGTCATGAAAACTGCATTAGTCATTTGTTTTTACAAACTGGTATATCAGTTCCAGTGTCAGCTCTCGTAGAGGATACAAATGTAGATATTGGACAGGTATGCAACTATAAAGTTCACAAAAACCTTGATCACAACATCTATGAGCTACCAATATTACATCATCACAAGACTAAAGCAAATGGGCATGCCAACAAATACCTGATCTCCTGACGGTAGGCAATCTGAAGCATGAGTCACAATTGCTAGCTGATCCCCCTGACCTGCCACAGTAACCACTGGACCACTGACTGAGAGGATATGCATCTGCAGAATAAGAATTTCATCAATTAAACAGTTAAATGTTGGGGGTTGATAAGTAAACAAGTGACCACAAGTAGTTACATTATCTGGATTGCTCCATGACATGAAAAAAATAAAAATAAAAGAAAGAGGGAAGATGTCTTGGTACCACAGTTTTATATGCAATATATGTTCGACTAGTGATTAATTGTATCAACAAAAAAATTACCAAACTTAGAAAATCAGATCACAATAAATCCAACAGAGGGTCAAGTCCCCAACCTCACATGTAGCAAAAGGTGGCACGAAGCCTGGTGAGGAAGGCCACGTTTTTGCAAGACAATCGGACGACCACGCGCGGTTGCAAAGAACGAGCCAAGCAAAGAATTTAAATTTGAGGGGAGCACACGGCCTCCAGATGAGGAAGCCCCAAACGCATTCAATGCGACTGGCAAAGGCAGTTTATTGGAGAATAGCTTAACAAGGGACCTTTTTTGTCAACCATTTTTGTACTTGTTCTGATGAATATTTACTTAAGCTCAGCTTATTACAACCAAATTGTGGTGCAGTACTTGGCAGTGTACATATTATAAGCAAGATTGTGAGAGCATCTACTACCAACTATCATGGTATAATTAGGAAAACTCATTACGCAAACAAGAATGATGTGCACTACAGTAATGTTCCAATATAACGCTTAGTTAAATGCAAAGTTTTAAATAGCGCGCTAAGCATCTTAGCGCCGGACCTCTTTCAAATGCTATAGCGTGCTATAGCGGAGCTATAGCGCACTATTTAAAATATTTGTTCATTTGTTTCGACCAAAGTCTCTTAGCGCAAGACCTTTTGTAAATGCTATAACATGCTATAGCGGAGCTATAGCGGGCTATTTGAAACAGTGGTTAAATGTGCACTTTCCAACTGACAGATGGCAAACACAGATTACAGGTGGAAATACAACCACTAGAGAATAATATAGTGCATGCCTTCATGAATACTGCATGATTTTTATGCAAGTATATTTGCAACAATAATGATCTGTGAACCAAGAGTCAGTGTACTGATGGTTTCTTTCTAAGTAGACCTGAGGGTTCCCATTCGGAGCATTATAACTTCATGCCATAATTTTCTAACCATATGTCAGAAAGCTCTAGCACAGGACACTGAGAAAACTGAGTTCATTGGTGTTTGTGAGCTAAGAGGAGGCGGCCTAATTTCAGATAAAGGAACCTGGCTGACTCCACAAGAATTAACACTGGAAGAAAAGTAAGAACATAAGAAATAAAAAAACACAAGCTTATAAATACCTGCAAGCCCCCTTCGGTGAAGATGCGCAAAAAATTTAAACTTGTGACTGCAGCAACCCATCCAGCACCAAGAGCCACAGACTTCACTTCTTCTCCCTCAAACCTCATTGACCACTACAATTGGGCATACATAAACACCCCTTGTTTCAGTAACCAATAAAGGTGAGCTACATTAAAACTCTCTAATTCTTGAAGGTGCAGAACATTTATGTTAGATGTAAAAAATCTTACCTCACTGTTACCAGCCCAGCTGCTGAAGGGGCGGTACATAAGAGTGCTCATATTGTTGTCTCCCTTGCATGGATTTGCAAACACGCTTCCTGATTCATTCAGTGCAGCCATGGTGAAACCAAAATAGTCGGTCATGGAAGGGACTCTGGGGCCTCTTCCTGTGTCGTGGAAGTCAACCTGGAAAATGATTATAAATGTCAGAACTTCAGCAGAGAGCCAATAAAACAGTATAACTTCACATAGTTTATTCAGTGGCTTATGAAGCAAACAACTGAAAAGGGGATCTTACCTCTACATGTGAGTGCCCCTCATTTTCAATGGTAGTAATACTTCCAAGCATGTTGTAAGCAAGGAAATTTCGCTTGCCAGGATGAGATGGCGTTGACCCAGGCTGGAAGGCAGCTTGCATTCTTGCTGTAACCAACCTTCCAGAAGTTGCCGAATCATCCATTGCCTTCCTAGCACCTTCTTTGTTATCTTTGTGCCTACCTTTTGTTCTCTTGCCTGACTGCATCTCGTGTATCATATCCTCTTCTTCGCTATCTCCATTCATGTGGTCATCAAATGTGGCCTTTCTCCTTGACCGCTTGTGGTTGAAAGGTGCTGAATCACCAAGACTTTCATCGATCTCATCATCAAAACCAGCCGATGTGCTTGGTTTTTCTTCTTCGTCTTCGTCATCAAACAATGGAACCCTCGGCAGGTTTAGCTCAGGCGCACCCTCAGTGGGCGACTTCATAGTCGAAGGGACCACTGATTCCCAAACCCCAAATTTACCCATTACATCAATGAGTACTATAGCATTATCCTCCGGTTTCCATGCCATGCTACATATCCTTTCATCAAACTTCTGCCTCTCAATGTCCTGCCTTGACTTCACATCCCAGACAAGCACCTGCCTATCCAGGCCAGCAGTTGCCAGGTACCTCCCATTCGGGGACCAGCAAAGGCTGCATATTGGCTGCTCATGTTCTCCTTTCAGTGTGAATACCTCCTCCGCAGTGTCCCTGTCATACATGACCACATTATTCCTCAGCCCAGGAACAGCAAGGGTGTGTCCATCGGGACTCCAGCACAGGGTATTCTTCACCGAGTGGTCAGAACCGAATGTTGGGGCGACACGAGTCAAGCTTCGTGCCTCACTGCCCAAACAAAGATCCCAAAAGATGACCGTGCCAAAGCTGTCGATTGATGCCAGATAATCATTTTTGGGGTCAAAAGCCAGCCCGGTCACGGAGCCCTTGTGACCTTTGAGCACCTTGGAGATCGTGTTGTCGACTGTAGCAATCAGCTTGATGCCGTCGTCATCGCCGGCGGCGGCCAAAAGGGCGCCCTTCTTGTTGAACGCCAGTGACCGGATCGGGAGGGTGAACCGGGCAACGTTGCTCTGGAACGTGCCGTCTGGAAAGAAATTCGGAGACATTTACAGATCTCGAAGTGAAAACAAAAATATAGAGTACTCGGATAAGATACCGCGCATCAGGACGGTCGGAACCACGAACCTGGGAAGGAGTAGAACTTGACGGAGTGGTCGATGGAACCGGAAGCCAGCGAGCCGCCGGAGCCTGGCGCGAGGGCGACGGCCGTCACGCCGTCCTTGTGGAGCCGGATCGTGGCGGCGGCCGCCGCTGAACCGGAGCCCCGGGCCCCGGTCCCCCCGGCGCTCACGGCGGCGGCGTCGTGGATCAGGATGGCGACGTCGGCGGCGGACGCGGTGACGACGTGCTGCCCCCCGGGGGCCCAGGCGACGGAGCAGAAGGCCGGGGAGCCCGAGCCCGCCTTGTGCGCCTCCCGCAGCTTCACCGCGCGCCCTTTCATGGCGACACCGCGAGAGAGATGCTTCGCGTCCGAGGCTTTCTTGGTGAGTTGGGGTGGGGATTTCGTGAGATTGGCCAAGATGCGGGGCGGGCGTTTATGTGTTTCGATATGCTGGGGCTAAACGAGTGGCGCGAAATTTCGGGGGTTTTCCCGCGGGAAATGGTCCGCTGGCGGGAAGATGGTCTTACCAGTAGGACCCGCGCGACTCCTCGCGGAAAGCTTACTGTCCACCGTGGGCCAACGTTGGGCCAACCTAGCATCTCCCTTCGATCGAGTAATCTATTTTTATAGATTTCTCAAAAGAAAAACATAGTGAAAACTATTTTTATAGTAGTATGTAATATCGGTGTGCAATGCTCTGACCATATTGTCATCAAGTATAAAAAATTCAACTATAAAAGAATATAGAGACTGAGAGTGCACCTATATCTTTAATTGGATTTTGCCATCGATGAAATGTAATTAGTTGGACGAACACTTAGATTGAATGATCTATACATCTTGGAATAAGCTTTTGCCCTGCTTGAGAAATAAAGCAATCAACATGTCCATACAAGAAGCAGCGAGTCACCGAGATAAAAATTAGGGCATCGGCACAAGCACGCCAAAGAAAACATAAGAGAAAGCAAGAAAAAAGACCACCAAGTGCCCACATCATCAGAGGGGCCTCAAGGAAGAGAGGCGTCGAGCAGTGTCATGTAGCGCATCCAACATCTGCCTCATCCGGTCACGATCCATTGCCTAGCCAGCGTGAGCCAAAATCAACATAATAATATCCATGAATACAAGAACATAATAATTATTGTTTCAAAGTATACGATGCTCAACGAATATTATCCCTACTCATTGAATTATGTAAGCACGGCACTGTTGGGGAACGTAGCATGCAATTTTAAAAAAAAATCCTACGATCACGTAAGATCTATCTAGGAGATGCATCGCAACGAGAGGGGGAGAGTATGTCCACATATCCTCGTAGACCGAAAGCGGAAGCGTTAGGTTAACGCGGTTGATGTAGTCGAACGTCTTTATAATCCAACCGATCCAAGTATCGAACGTACGACACCTCCGTGTTCAGCACATGTTCAGCTCGATGACGTCCCTCGAACTCTTGATCCAGCAAAGGGTTGAGGGAGAGTTCTGTCAGCACGATGGTGTGGTGACGATGATGGTGATGTGATCCGCACAGGGCTTTGTCTAAGCACTACGACAACATGACCGGTGGAGTAAACTGTGGAGGGGAGCACCGCACACGGTTAAGAAACAACTATTGTGCTTTGGGGTGCCCCCTGCCCCCGTATATAAAGGAGGAGGGGAGGAGGTCGGCCACAAGGGGGCGCCAAGGAGAGGGGAGTCCTACTAGGACTCTAGTCCTAGTAGGATTCGGCCCACCCCCTTTTTTTCCTTCTACGGGAGGAGGAAAAGGGGAAGGAGAGGGAGTAGGAGAAGGAAAGGGGGTGGCGCCCCCTTCCCTGGTCCAATTCGGCCTCCTCCCTTGTGGGGGGCGCACCAGCCCCTTGTGGGCTGGTTAGCCTCCCTCCTATGGCCCATATGGCCCATATCTTTCCTCAGGGGGTTCCGGTAACCCCTCCGGTACTCCGGTATGTATCCGATACACTCCGAAACCCTTCAAGTGTCCGAATACTACCTTCCAATATATCAATCTTTACCTCTCGGCCATTTCGAGACTCCTCATCATGTCCCGATCTCATCCGGGACTCCGAACAAACTTCGGTCACCAAAACACATAACTCATGATACAAATCGTCATCGAACATGAAGCGTGCGGACCCTACGGGTTCGAGAACTATGTAGACATGACCGAGACACATCTCTGGTCAATAACTAATAGCGGAACCTGGATGCTCATATTGGTTCCTACATATTCTATGAAGATCTTTATCGGTCAAACCACAATAACAACATATGTTATTCCCTTTGTCATCGGTATGTTACTTGCCCGAGATTCGATCGTCGATATCATCATACCTAGTTTAATCCCGTTACCGGCAAGTCTCTTTACTCGTTCCGTAATGCATCATCCCGCAACTAACTCATTAGTTACATTGCTTGCAAGGCTTATGGTGATGTGCATTACCGAGAGGGCCCAGAGATACCTCTCTGATACTCGAGTGACAAATCCTAATCTTGATCTATGCCAACCCACCAAACACCTTCGGAGACAACTGTAGAGCATCTTTATAATCACCCAGTTACGTTGTGACGTTTGATAGCACACAAGGTGTTCCTCCGGTATTCGGGAGTTGCATAATCTCATAGTCAGAGGAATATGTATAAGTCATGAAGAAAGCAATAGCAATAAAACTTAATGATCATTATGCTAAGCTAACGTATGGGTCTTGTCCATCACATCATTCTCCTAATGATGCGATCCCGTTCATCAAATGACAACACATGTCTATGGTTAGGAAACTTAACCATCTTTGATTAACGAGCTAGTCAAGTAGAGGCATACTAGGGACGGTTTGTTTTGTCTATGTATTCACACATGTATCAAGTTTCCGGTTAATACAATTCTAGCATGAATAGTAAACATTTATCATGATATAAGGAAATATAAACAACAACTCTATTATTGCCTCTAGGGCATATTTCCTCCAGTCTCCCACTTGCACTAGAGTCAATAATCTAGTTCACATCGCTATGTGATTTAACACCAATAGTTCACGTCTTCATTTGATTAACAACCATAGTTCACATCGCCATGTGACAAACACCCAAAGGGTTCACTAGAGTCAATAATCTAGTTCACATCGCTATGTGATTAACACCCAAAGAGTACTAAGGTGTGATCATGTTTTGCTTGTGAGAGAGTTTTAGTCAACGGGTCTGTCACATTTAGATCCGTATGTATTTTGCAAAAAAAATATGTATACAATGCTCTGCACGGAGCTACTCTAGCTAATTGCTCCCACTTTCAATATGTATCCAGATCAAGACTCAGAGTCATCTGTATTACTGTCAAACCTTGCATCGATATAACTCTTTACGACAAACTCTTTATCACCTCCATAACCGAGAAATATTTCCTTAGTCCTCTTAGGTAATTAAGGATAACTTTAACCGCTGTCCAGTGAACCATTCCTGGATCACTATTGTACCCCTTTGCCAAACTCATGGTAAGGTACACAATAGGCCTGGTACACAACATAGCATAATTTATAGAACCTATAGTTGAGGGATAGGGAATGACTTTCATCTTCTCTCTATATTCTGTCGTGGTCGGGTTTTGAGTCTTTATTCAACTTCACACCTTGTAACACAAGTAAGAACCCTTTCTTAGACTGATCCATTTTTAACTCCTTCAAAATCTTGTCAAGGTATGTGCTTTGTGAAAGTCCTATGAAGCGTCTTGATTTATCTCTATAGATCTTGATGCTCAATATATAAGCAGCTTCACCGAGGTCTTTTATTGAAAAAATCTTATTCAAGTATCCTTTTATGCTATCCAGAAATTCTATATCATTCCTGATAAACAATATGTCATCCACATATAATATCAGAAATGCTACAGAGCTCCCACTCACTTTCTTGTAAATACAGACTTCTCTAAAAATCTGTATAAAACCATATGCTTTGATCATCTCATCAAAGCATATATTCCAGCTCTGAGATGCTAGCACTAGTCCATAAATGGATCGCTCGAGCTTGCACACTTTGTTAGTACCTTTAGGATCGACAAAACCTTCTGGTTGCATCATATACAACTCTTCTTTAAGATATCCATTAAGAAATGTAGTTTTCATATCCATTTGCCAGATTTCATAAAGTGCGGCAATTGCTAACACGATTCAGACAGACTTAAACATCGCTACTAGTGAGAAAATCTCATCGTCAACACCTTGAACATGTCGAAAACCTTTTGTGACAATTCGAGCTTTGTAGACAGTAACATTACTGTCAGCGATAGTCTTCTTCTTGAAGATCCATTTATTCTCTATGGCTTGCCGATCATCGGGAAAGTCAACCAAAGTCCACACTTTGTTCTCATACATGGATCCTATCTCAGATTTCATGGCCTCAAGCCATTCTGCGAAATCTGGGCTCATCATCGCTTCCTCATAGTTTGTAGGTTCATCATGGTCTAGTAGCATGACTTTCAGAACAGGATTACCGTACCACTCTGGTGCGGACCGTACTCTGGTTGACCTATGAGGTTCGGTAGTAACTTGATCTGAAGTTTCATGATCATCATCATTAACTTCCTCACTAATTGGTGTAAGCATCACTGGAACTGATTTTTGTGATGAACTACTTTCCAATTCGGGAGATTGTACAACTACCTCATCAAGTTCTACTTTCCTCCCATTCACTTATTTCGAGAGAAACTCCTTCTCTAGAAAGGATCCATCCTTACCAACAA